GGGGGGGAGATTTGGTTTCACACCAAAAAGGATCTGGAACTAGTCCCTAGTTCGCGCGAACCTCTTCACCCCCAGATAGTCCCTGCTAGAGAGGTACTACTTGGAAATGGTTCGTGGGTGTGTCGGCCACACTAACAGTTTCTGATTGGCTGGGCGGATTTTAAACCACGCCCCGTAAAACTCCGAAAAGTTTGGTGAAGCCGCCATTTTATTTGCTCGCATTAGCGTAGCGCACCAACAGAGAGAGACTAACTTATGGCAACACAAAAGAAAAGTGGAGTGATGAGGAGGTGTCGGCGCTTCTGGCGATTCACTCGGCCCAGCAGCAATTGACAATAAAGCTGATATTTTGTACGGTGCTTTTGGTTCTCTCTTTTATTTAGCACAGTCAAGACAGGCAAAATTACAATAGTGCAATAATAACAATAACGGCATCACGCTGTCCCAGGTGTGTGTATGCATAGTAAATAGGCTCAGCAGCAGAGGCACCTTAGTGCAAAGATTAATAGCAGATAAACCACTACAAAGTAAGCCTGCCAGTAAACCCAAAGCAACAGAAGAAGAAGTGACGTCAGCGGCTTAATTTCCCTAATCCTCCCTCAGGGACTTATTCCGGTGAGAACTCGATCTACTAGATCAGGGATGTCAAACTCATTTTCATCGTGGGCCACATTAGCGTTAAGGTTGCACTCAAAGGGCCGGTTGTAACTATATAAATATAATATATTTATATTATATTACATTATTGCCTCTGAATTGGATTATTATCGGATAGGGTAATAACTTATTAATTAACTACGTCTGAAAGCAGAAGTCTAACGCAAATAATTGCAAGTCTCTTCAGTGCACATTTCACAAAAGGAGATGCATTGTGGGACATGTAGTTTATGGGCAATGTGATTCTGAAACCATATAATAAACGTATTATATTATTTGCAAGCTCTTGCGGGGCCATATAAAATGAAGTCGAGGGCCGGATTTGGCCCCCGGGCCTTGAGTTTGACACCCCTGTACTAGATAGTTTGAGGGACTAAAGAGTTTGGGGGGGGACAAGTACCGGGGACAAGTACTGGCTAATTACTTGGTGTGAAAGCGGCTAATGTCTATTTAAATAAGCTCATTGTTGTTGAAAATCAAAGTGTTTTAAAAAACAAACAAAATCTCTCTTCTCTCTCTCTCTTTCTCCCCTTCTCCCCCTTTTGCAGGCTCAGAGCCCCCCAGGCCTCACACCCCCCCTCCGGGTGAAAAGGACGAGGCATGCATCGTCCTCTCCGGCTCCGACAGCGACCCTGAGCTCAGTCGGGGGAAAACACAGACTCCCAGATCGCCGGGAGGCAAACAGGGCGAGGGTGAGGATGAGGATGAGCCTCTGAAAGACAAACAGAAACCAGAGGAGGAAGAGGAGGACAAGCGGCAGCAGATCAAAGACAAACAATCAGCCCCCCCCGACCTCCGAACAGAGGGTAATCCCAACTGCAATCTTCTTCTTTTCATATCTAGGGAAATTGGCTGCGGCTGCATTGTCACCTGCTCATATAATGCTGTTTAATATCATCACCTCGAACCAATAAGGGACTATATCTCACTCCATATGGGGCCGCGCGTTAGTATTCTTACTATTATTAGTCGGCTCTCAGGGATCTACAGGTGATATTGAATGAAACTTCCCCAGAGTGCATCATGTTGGAGAATCAGAATCAAGTTTTTTGGCAGGTACGGTGACACAGGCAAGGAATTTGGTGGTGCAAACGTAAACAACAGAAGAAAATAAGGTCAAAAATATAACAATTATATAAAAAAAGGATGATTTGACATTAAAAAATAATAAAGACAAGTACTTACACCACATTTGAATATACAAAACAAACACAAATAAAAGGTACGGTGACACAAAAAAGGAATTTGCTTTGGTGTATGGTGGTGCAAACATACACAACTTAGGAAAATAAGGTCAAAAATATAACAATTATTAAAAAAAAAGGACAATTTAACATAAAGTATTTACACCAGATTTCAATATACAAAAGATAAAGAAATCTAACTTAGTACAAGAATATATGTCGACATATGACTAACTGCAGTGTGTGAGCGCCGAGAACAGCTTCTGATTGGCTGGTTTTTGGTATTTATTTAATAAATTGGACTACTTATATAAAACACACACGTGTCCTTCCCCCAGCGGCTCTCCCTTGTCCACTCCCGTTATACTTGTACATGTCTGCGGGTCTCAGAGGGATGTGAAAAAACAAATTCCCAATTACACAGTGTGTAATATTGCAAATTAAGACCTCTGTGTTCAAGTGCTTGTGTCTCAAAGGGAAACGCAAAGCAATACATTGCGCTAATTACAAAGAACTAATTACACCGTGTGCAATATGAAGAGCTCCAAAAAGAAAATACTAATAATATTGCCAGACTAGCAGAGTCTAAGAAAAGCTTGTGACCCGAGCGTTGCCTCTGAAACATTTTGGGGTTATTAAAGGAAGAAACCAAGCCGTTCAGGGCCGTTAGAGTAGAGACGGGAATATTGTAGAAGCCATTTAGGGTTTTAACAGGCAAGCTATCAACCCCTATTACCCTTTAACGTGCTCAGATCAGTGTGTAACAACTCGGCAGACACACACACTCTGAGATCTATTACTGTGTGCCCCCAAATGTCCAGGATTGAATCCCACTGCTGCTTCCCCCTCTACTCTCAGGCGTAAAAATACAAAAGGTGAGCCTCTACTGTGTGTGTGTACATGCTTTTACTGCCTGCCAGTATAATAGGGCCCCATTAAAGGTGGGGTAGGTAATTTTGGAGAAACCAGCTCGAGATCACAAGAATTTGAAAATACACAACCGGAGAAAATCTTCCACTTCCTCACAGAGCCCCTCCTCCAACACACACGAACGCGCACATGACCAATGAGGGCACGAGATAAGTTTGTGCACTGATGGAAGGCTGACAGGCAGGTAGGCCATCCAGTTACTTTAGCCGGGCCGGCTCAGATGATTGGTCGTGCTTTTTACAGCGCTACGGCTTCAACAGATGACATTTCTTTATGGATTTTTTGTCAAAGCACTTCAGATATTCATTGCTATCGGGATGTTAAGAGCATTCCATGGAGTATAACAACAAGTGTATCTCGAGCCGGTTTCTCAAACTTACCTACCCCACCTGTCAATCAGCAAAATAATTTGTCACTAAAATCAACGAATAATGACCATAAATAATGTAATTCTTTAACAGAAAAATTCTAGAAGGTAAGCCCAATTACACACATTGAGCGTCCAGTCAGGTCCGTTTTGACCTGTGCCCCCAAATATCCAGGATTTAATCCCATTGCTGCTTCCCCCCTCTTCACTCTCAGGAATCTTATTTTTACAACACAATAATGACGTAGCACATACATGACAAATACATAATTACAAAGCAAACAAAAAGACAAAACATAACAAAAACAGCTCAGTCTCAAACATACATACACGTAGATGGTTACAGGAGTATCACATGTATGATTGATGATGAATTTATGAGGAGATCCATGAGGTTCCTTTAACAATAACAGCCGACAATTCAGGTCCAAGGAAATGTAAGTAAGGCTTCCAGATTGTATAGAGCTGATCAGATTTGGCATGTAAAACATTTGTGAGATATTCCAGGGGAACCAACTCAAATATAATGTTGCGCCAGACTTTGAGACATGGGACCAGATCGTTAGTAGTCAATAGGGCTGTACACGAATATCCGAATATTCGTTCGTTGGAGTACTATTCAGGTTTCAATTTCGTTATTCGGATATTCGTTTTTTATTTCTTTCGTTTTTTTATTTGTATTTATTGAAATATCCAATATCAACGTAAGAGCTTGTGCCTCTTCGGGGGGTGCTAACACTTAACCATAAACGTTATCGTTTACTTTCTCCGTCTTTATATGTAGATATTACTTTTTCCCCATTAATCTCCGTCACGTTGTTTCCATAGCAACAACAACTTCCTGTCAACTGCGCTAACTCTCCTTCAAAATAAAAGCATGTCTATTCAAAATAGAAAGCCAAGCCAAATTACACTTAAGACATATACAACTGCAACGAAAGTAACAAACACAATGCAATATCCTTTTCAATTTCAAAGAACACAAATTGGGTTACATTAACAAATAAATATAAAACAACAATACTGTAGAATAACAAAAAGAATGCCGTGAATAAACCGAAATACATGTGGCGTAGCGGTTCGCTGCTGATTACTACGCACCCCCCCCGCGCGGAACGAATATTCGCTGCTGATTACTACCGAATATCCGGAACCCGACAAATGGTGTTCGGGACAGCCCTGGTAGTCAAATATTTTTGCTAGCAGCAAAAGTAAGATCAAAAGGCCTCAAATCACTATTTAGACCCGAGTTAAAAGCCCCGTGTCGATCAGAAATGGCACTAAAGAGACACAGTGGGGTGCCGACTTGTGGACATTTCCCCTGGAGACAAATGCACGTTTCTGTCCGTCTGTATGTGACCGTGTGTCTCTCCATCCGTCCCGTCGGTTAATTTGTGAACAGCGTGGGTTTGCTACGAAACACAGCGGTTGTCCAATAAAAGTGACCTATGGGGTCAGGAGCGGAGCCTAATGATTTTCCGCTACCTGGCCGTGTTTTTTTTTTAAGGCAAAGCGCAGAGCTGTCGGCCGCCCACACATCTTGATTGCTCTGAGATTACTTTCCTCACAGCACAGACAGGCAATCAGTCCTCCCCCTCCTCCCCTTCTGTCTCTCGCTCTACTTCCTGTCTGTCGCATTCTCATCCATCTGCAAACATTACAACACACAGCTTTTCTACCGGATGTTAGTTTAAACGCTGCCGCAAAATCAGCCGCACCAAAACGTCCTCACACTTTTTCTTGTATTATTTCTCTTTTGTTTCGATCCTGCAGAAGATGAGATGACTCAGTCCAATTAGGCGTTTGTTTTCTCTCTCTCGCAGTGAAATAACAGATAAATCCCTCGGGGTGTTTTGAAGGCACTGTTCATACTGTGTAAGTGACAGTCTAATAAGACGGCTTTGTAAGATGAATTGCCCCCATCGTATAAATGGCCCACTTAATGCAGCTGGCGTGCAAACACAGGAAGGGGGGGTGGAAAAAAAACTGCTTACGACAAATATAGGGTGCACATTGCAGGGATGCTAGGTTCCATTACAGATATGGAGGGACAGATAGATGGGATTTTATAAAAACGCTAGTGTCCTGAAAGTTATTTTAGCTTGTAGCACGGCACACTGCCTTCTCCTGTGGGTTTTTTTTCCAGACATAAAGTGGCCCATACGAGCTGATGCCGGGGTGAGATCAGAACAGCCTGTACCAGACCCGGGGAAATTGCACCTATAAGGACGGCAAACATAAAAATGAAAGATATGACCGGTGAACATGATAGGTCAGCGAGAGGAAAAGCCCTAACAGGAAGAGCTCACCTTTTAACAAGAAACATTCAATCAAAATGCATCACCGAACTTTGACAAGGTCTTCGAACGTTGTAAATCTATCGTAAAATTAGTTATGGAAAGTGCATTTACTACTTCCTGTCCTTAAGTAGAATTGTGAGGTGCTTTTCCTTCCATGTTATGCTACTTCATGATAGCATTGGTTTAAAATAGGTAAGATTGAATGAACACAGAAAACCTTTTATGGGAGTATTTTCTAAGGAAAGCCTCTAAAAAAGAGGTTTTAAAACTTCAAGATTTGTCTGTAACATTACATCATGCATGACTGAATGGGCAAAATAGAGTTCGAAAAAACATTGTTTAATATCATTTATTCGGGGTCAAACAACACACAGATTGCATCCTATTTTGATTGAAAGGTCGCTATCTTGATTGGTGAACGAAGCTACGTTATATCGCCTTTTTCCCAACTTAAAAGCGTTGAGAAGTAAAAGAGACTTCTTATTGAAAACACTCTAAATGGTTTTAACTTCAGCAAAAATGCCCGTGTCCTTGTAGGACCCCATCAAGTAGAAATGGAGTAAATGTGTTTGCAGGGCCTTTTGATACAGCAGGGTCAACCCTCGTAGAATTCAAATAGAAACACACATTCCCACGAACACACACACACACAGACGAGGCAGACAACTGGCCATGCAGAGTGATTTAAGGCGAGTATCGTCAGACTGCTGTAGGTCAGTGTCTAAATGAAGCGTGGTGGAGCAGCGGCCGTCTCATTTCCACCGCTGACCTTTCCCTGCTCGCTGCTTCAGGATGAGCGAGCTACACGGCTGACATTAATGACCCGCTTCCTCTCTGTTTCTCCCCATTTGTTACTGTCATCTTATCTCTCTCCCTTTCTTCTCTCTCTTACTCTCTCTCCATGGTGTTCAGCAAAACCTCACACGGACATGTTGGAAGTAAATCACTCCTCTTCTATGTGGAGGAATACTAATTGCCGTCAGGACTTTGGCGATCATGATTGATATTTTAAAGCCGTGCTACGCTCATAGAAACTTTCCTGAGTGTCCAGTGCACTGACATGCTACAGGTTACAACAACAGTGCACTGCATTCAGGTGAACACGACTTGTTTTAACTTGATTTAAAGTCTTATGTTGATCCACAGATGGTTTGATTACCAGGAAGGTAGCAAAAGCAACTTTCATTTAAATGTGACTCAATACTATTTAAAATCTGCGTCTAATACATGTACTTTGAATAAAAGGCAATCGTTTCTCTAAAGAAAGATTTCTACACAATTGTAGCACAGCATGGAAGTAAAATAAGTGCTATGTTTGTTTGAAGGGGCCCAATTATGCTCATTTCCAGGTTAATATTTGTATGTTGTGCATCTACTGTACTTTGTGTCTTTTCATGCTTTAATGTTCAAAAAGGTCTTTACTTTTCTCATGCTACCTGCCAGCATAATAGGGCCCCAATGTCCATCCATCCGTCTTCTCCCAAGGTGCTCCCAGGCCAGCGAAGAGATATAATCCCTCCACCTGGTTCTAGGTCTACCCCTCGGTCTCCTCCCAGCTGGACGTGCCTGGAACACCTCCCTAGGGAGGCGCCCAGGTGGCATCCTAACTAGGCGGCATCCTAACTAGGTGCCCAAACCACCTCAACTGGCTCCTTTCGACGCGAAGGAGGAGCGGTTCAACTCCGAGTCCCTCCCGGATGACTGAACTTCTCACCTTATCCCTAAGGGAGACGCCAGCCACCCTGCGGAGAAAACCCATCTCGGCCGCTTGTACCCGCCATCTCGTTCTTTCGGTCATGACCCATCCTTCATGACCATAGGTCGGGGGCTTTTACTTTCAATATCATTTGATGCCAATACTTTTGTACTTTTACTTAAGTAACATTTTGAATACTGTAACAGAGTATTCCTACACTCTGGTAGTTCTACTTTTACTCAAGTACAAGATCTGAGTACTTCTACTTTTACTCAAGAACAACATCTGAGTACTTCTACTTTTACTCAAGAAAACAAGATCTGAGTACTTCTACTTTTACTCAAGTACAAGATCTGAGTACTTCTACTTTTACTACAAGATCTGAGTACTTCTACTTTTACTCAAGAAAACAAGATCTGAGTACTTCTACTTTTACTCAAGTACAAGATCTGAGTACTTCTACTTTTACTCAAGTACAAGATCTGAGTACTTCTACTTTTACTAACTAAAGATCTGAGTACTTCTACTTTTACTCAAGAAAACAAGATCTGAGTACTTCTACTTTTACTCAAGTACAAGATCTGAGTACTTCTACTTTTACTCAAGTACAAGATCTGAGTGCTTCTTAAAAAAAAAAACATCTCGGCCGTCATGACCCATCCTTCATGACCATAGGTGAGGGTAGGATGAAAATGTCCCGGTAGACAGAGAGCTTTGCCTTCTGGCTCAGCTCTCTTTTCGTCACACGGTGCGGTAAAGCGACTGCAGTACCGCTCCCTCTGCTCCGATTCTCCGGCCCATCTCACGCTCCATTGTTCCCTCACTCGAGAACAAGACCCCGAGATACTTGAACTCCTTCACTTGGGGAAAGGACTCATTCCCTACTTGGAGTGGACCAGACCCGGCCGACAGAAGCTGGCCCTGCAAATGTCCATCAGCAAAATAACTTGTCCCTAAAGTCAATGAATAATGAGTATAAATAATAATAATAATAAGACCAATTACAAGCATTTAGCATCAAGTCAGTCTGTTTTTGAGAGACTTCCTGTCACTATTCAATGCTCATGTCGCCCCTTTATCGATAATGTGGTAAAAACAAATCATTAATGAATATAAAGGTCATTTTCAGCGCTTATATTTTAATATATTGACTCTATTTCGGTGCTGGAAAGTCTTCAAGACAGGCTGCTTTAAGACACACATGTAGGTTGGTTGTTATATCAACGGGTGATAGCATAAGATTGACTTTCATTCGTAATTATATGAAAAATGTCAAAGGTAATTATTTTAAAATGTTCATTTCACATTCTATAATCAAGTGTTTGAAAGCAATAAAGCTAAATATTTCTTTTCGAGCGTGCGCCTCGTATGCATTTTAATGATCTGCTACAAATGTCATATCCCCCTCAATATTGTGCCGTGTGTAATAAATGTGAGAGCTGCAGGAGTTTAATGTCTCTGCTAGTCGGTGCATCGGCAGAGGAGCAAACACAGCTGTGAGAGCCAATAATGAGCCAGTAATATATACTCTGAGAGATATTAGCCTCTTCCTCTCTCCCTGCAGAGACTGCTGCTGCCGGTGCTAATGACGATGATGAGGCCAATGATGAAGATGATGCTTATACGGTCTACCCGGGACTTCAGTTCTGCGCCAGCCCTTACACTGACCGGATATATCTCTACACAAAGGTACCGTTGAAATAATAATCCTTCTAAAGATCTCTCCTTACAAGAGTACAACAGAACATAAATATATATTGCATACATGCCGTAAAACACCACCTTGTGCCCATTATTAAAATATACGTCTCTCTTCCCACAGACTTCAGAATTACATTCATTCAAAGAGGATATATTAAGCTAGTGTTTAGGTTCATATCAGTATGTAGTGTCTCTACTTTAAAGAGTCCTCTCCTGCTGATGTTCAGGTGTATATCAGTATGTAGTGTCTCTACTTTAAAGAGTCCTCTCCTGCTGATGTTCAGGTGTATATCAGTATGTAGTGTCTTAGCCTGTGTGATTGAGCGTTGATGTCAATTTTAACTTTGTTTATTATTGAAGCTGTTCTAAAAACGACTAAAGTTTGATAGTAGGTGTGAACGAGATTGTGAGAAACAAATCTCCACACTTGTTATTGCCGTGAGTCCTTGAATTACTGAAAGCCCTGCACACTATTATATATTTGTTTTCATCTCTAAAGCCGCGCTACGTGACATTTTAAAGGGAAAATATATGTGTTCATCAGGTCAAGTGCGGTCACATTCACCGAATTCACCACAATTTGCCGATGCTTGTAAACACTATCTCCCCGAAGAAAGGGATTGAATTCAAAAGCATTTCGTGTTTTCTTCCTCTCAGACGAAGCTGGATGTCTCATTTATTCTCCTCTTATCCCTTTAGTATGAAACATTGTACAATGTCTGATGCCCTTTGTTTGAGTATTACATTTCAGACGGCAGCTATTTGAAGATACCAAAGTGCAAACATCTCAGAAGTGTCAGCATCGGGAGCTTTTAACTGGAAGTGTGAAGTTTTTATTCCTCAACGCGGTGAGAATAAGTCAAACTGAAAGGGAATGCATGAGTTTAAAAACCCACATGATGTTTTGTTCCTCCCCAGCTTGTTCCTGTCACATTCAAACATTGAACAAAGCATAATTAATCCCTTTATTTAGCGCCAAGTGCTGCAAAAAACAATACACTTAACAAAAGAGGAAACGTGCTGTTCTGCCACTCTTTGCCAATTAGCAACCTGTGCAGATGTGATCAAACGGTAACAGGTAACATGAGGGAGAGTCAGAGTTTAAGGATGAAGCTAATGGTGATTGAAAGAGCCCAAATTATTCCACTTAGGGTAGAAAGTACTCTTACTCATGCTTGATATTAACCTTGATTGCCTCCTGTCTATTATCAGAGGAGCTTGTTTGAGCTTCTCTCTTTTCTCTGAGATGTGTCGAGGCCGTGTGGTGAAAGAGAAGCTCTTAAATCCACTCATACTCTTTAGGTCAACACAAATGAAAGGTTCAGGAATTACCAAAGGATTACCAATAGCATTTGAAAAGGATCTGCAGAGCCTCTCTCCTACGTTTCCTCCTTCATCTGCAATCCTCCTGCGTTTACCAGCCCTAAGGGAGTCGAGTTAACCCTTAGATGCCCGAGTGACTGGACCCTACTCTCTTCCATAAGTGGGTCAAAAAGGACCCGTATTAGAATAATATGTGTTTTTATGCCATTTTGGTCGTTTTGGTTAAGAAAAATCACTTGTGTAATATTTAGTATTATATTTTGGTTCACACTAGAAATATTTTATATTTAATTTTTCACTATTTCTAATTTTAGACATTTTTTTT